GTAACGCCTATCATTTGGTGCGCATCCGCGAGGGCGACGAGTGGAAGACCGCTTTCAACACTCCACTTGGTCAGTTCAAATACAGAGTCATGCCGTTCGGACTCACCAACGCTCCCGCGGATTTCCAAGCCCTCGTCAACGATGTTCTCCGCGACATGCTCAATCTGTTTGTGTTTGTTTACCTCGACGACATTTTGATATTTTCACGCAACCTGGCCGAACATATTCAGCATGTTCGGCTTGTTCTCCAGCGACTCCTGGAGAACCGGTTATATGTCAAGGCAGAGAAGTGCGCGTTCCACGTTTCGTCCGTGGAGTTCTTGGGATTCGTCATAGAAAAGGGGCAACTTATGACGGATCCCAAGAAGATCCAAGCGGTGGTGGAGTGGCCAGCCCCATCCACTCGCAAGCAGCTCCAGCGGTTCCTCGGGTTCGCTAATTTCTACCGCAGATTCATAAGAGACTATAGCCTGGTAGCCGCCCCACTTACCCAGCTCACCTCGACCAAGGTTCCCTTCGTGTGGTCTTCTGCTGCCCAGGCAGCATTTAACAAGTTGAAGCTTCTTTTTTCATCTGCCCCTGTTCTCGCTCACTCGGATCCGTCGCTCCAGTTTGTGGTGGAGGTGGACGCCTCCGATACGGGAGTCGGAGGAGTACTGTCACAACGGTCCCCGGACACCCAAAAGCTTCATCCATGTGCGTTCTTCTCCCGCCGACTGTCTCCAGCTGAACGTAACTATGATGTTGGCAACAGAGAGCTATTGGCTGTGGTGTTAGCGTTGCAGGAATGGAGACACTGGCTGGAGGGCTCCTCCCAGCCATTTATCGTGTGGACCGATCATAAGAACTTGTCCTATTTACGCTCTGCCCATAGGTTAAACTCCCGTCAGGCTCGGTGGGCACTGTTCCTGGGCCGTTTCGAGTTCACCCTCACCTACCGTCCAGGGTCCCGCAACACCAAGCCCGACGCTCTCTCCCGTCAGTTCTCCCCTCCGGAGGAGGAGGGGGTCGTGGAAACCATCCTCCCGAGTGCCTGTGTGGTCGGAGCGGCCAGGTGGGAGGTGGAACAGGTGGTCCAGGAGGCCCTTCGGAATCAACCGCAGCCAGAGGGATGCCCTCCAGGGAGACTCTTCGTGGCGGCGGAGGCGCGATCTGCGGTCTTGCAGTGGGGCCACTCTTCAAGGATTTCATGCCATCCAGGTTTCCATCGCACCCTGGCCCTCATCCGACAGCGTTTCTGGTGGCCGTCTATCTCTCCTGATACCAAGGAGTTTGTCGCCGCCTGCTCCGTCTGCGCCCGCGGTAAGGCCTCCCATCGCCCTCCTGCCGGCCTACTACGCCCTCTTCCTGTCCCCCACCGCCCCTGGTCGCACATAGCCGTTGACTTTGTGACCGGTTTGCCTCCCTCTGAGGGGAACACGGTCGTCCTAACTATTGTGGACCGGTTTTCCAAATCGGTGCATTTCGTTCCACTGCCCAAGCTCCCCTCAGCTTTAGAGACTGCGAACCTCTTGGTTCACCATGTGTTCCGTCTTCACGGGATACCCCAGGACATTGTGTCAGACCGGGGGCCGCAGTTCGCATCACGAGTATGGAAAGCCTTTTGCCAGGCGTTGGGGGCAGCTGTTAGCCTTTCATCCGGGTTCCACCCCCAGACTAACGGCCAGACGGAGCGGGCAAACCAGGACCTGGAGTCAGCTCTCCGTTGCGTCACCGCCCGTCATCCAGCCTCCTGGTCCACCCACCTTCCCTGGATCGAGTACTCTCATAACTCCCTGGTCAGCTCCGCCACAGGGATGTCGCCATTCATGTCTGCCAACGGTTTCCAACCCCCATTATTTCCCACACAGGAGGCTGGTGTTGCGGTTCCCTCGGTGCGGGAGAATCTACGGCGTGCCCACCGAGTCTGGAAAGAGGTTAGAGCAGCCCTTGCACGCACCACAGCCCGCAACCAGCGCCTTGCAGACCGGCACCGGGTTCCAGCTCCCAGCTATCAGCCAGGTCAAAGGGTTTGGTTGTCCTCACGTGACTTACCCCTACAGGTGGAGAGCAGAAAGCTCGCCCCCAGATTCATTGGACCGTTTGAGATCGACCACATAATAAATCCCAATGTGGTAAGATTGAAGTTACCTCCCAGTCTCCAGATTCACCCAGCCTTCCATGTCTCGTTGCTTAAACCTGTTACCTCCAGTCCATTCAGCCCTCCGGCCGACCCCCCACCACCCACCCGGCTCATCGATGACCACCCGGCCTACACCGTCCGGCAACTACTGGACGTCCGCCGGCGGGGCCGGGGGTTCCAGTTTCTGGTGGACTGGGAGGGTTATGGTCCGGAGGAGCGTCAGTGGGTCTCTCGGGCCCTCATCCTGGACAAGACCCTCATCACAGACTTTTACGGACGCTTTCCTGATAAACCGGGCAGAACGCCAGGAGGCGTTCGTTAAGGGGGGGGTACTGTCATGGTTTGAGTTTTGCGTTTCTGTGTTGTTGCTTGTTTTGTCCCTTCTCGTTTCCCCTGGCGTGTAGGTGCAAGGTAGTGGGCGTGGTAAGGTTGCCGGCACATTCAACGAGGCACACCTGGCTCTCATCATCAATCACTCCTCCTATATAACCCCGGTTCAATCTCCACTCCAGTGCCGAATTATTACAGATGTCACGTCTCCAGTGTGCCGCGTGCTTATGCCGTCCGCCGAACGCCGTTTCCAGCCTACCGCGTGTCCCCCTTTCCTGGCATCCTGTGTCGGCAGCCTTCCCGTCTGCTGCCCTCCCTGCACGCCAGCGTCCTTAGTTATATCCCCTCCGTTTTTGATCCTTGTTTGATAAACCCTTTTTTCACCATCACCTCTCGTTGTCTCTGTCTCTGCTCCGGGGCCCTACTATTGCTAAACCTAACAGAGACTAACCCTAACTTTAACATACTAACTAACCCTAACTTCAACATACTAACTAACCCTAACTTCAACATAATGGATAGAGACTAACCCTAACTTTAACATACTAACTAACCCTAACTTCAACATACTAACTAACCCTAACTTCAACATACTAACTAACCCTAACTTTAACATACTAACTAACCCTAACTAACATAATGGATAGAGCCTAACCCTAACTTTAACATACTAACTATCCCTAACTTCAACATACTAACTAAATCAACTAAAAATGTAATTAACTAAATGAATTGTGATTAATTAATCAGCATATCATGCAATTAAATTGATTTAAAAATGTAATCGCTAAGCAGCCCTAATCATTTTATCACATAACAATGTGGTGATATGTCATCACATTATAAAAGTACAATGTAAGAGCTGCAGTAGTGTGTGATTATCCTGGGGTTCAGAGTTTCAGCCTCGCCACCGGACTCGAGGCTGAGGTTCCTCACCAGAGAGACATGCTGTCTGTCTGGGGGACCACTCTGGGGTCGTTCTCCAGGGCTTTTAAAATGGTCTTTTAGGCAGGAGAAAAAACACACAAAAGAAATGTCACACCGTCACGCTGCATGCAAACCAAGTGCACGTGAACTTAACTCTTATCTCTTACTTATCATCCGGAAGATGAGGTTGTCATGGTCGCACCGACTGATCCATAAGTAGCTTGGTCACACCAACTGATCCTTAAGTAGCTTGGTCACACCAACTGATCCTTAAGTAGCTTGGTCACACCAACTGATCCATAAGTAGCTTGGTCACACCAACTGATCCTTAAGTAGCTTGGTCACACCAACTGATCCGTAAGTAGCTTGGTCACACCGACTGATCCTTAAGTAGCTTGGTCACACCAACTGATCCGTAAGTAGCTTGGTCACACCGACTGATCCTTAAGTAGCTTTGTCGCACCGACTGATCCTTAAGTAGCTTGGTCGCACCGACTGATCCTTAAGTAGCTTGGTCGCACCGACTGATCCTTAAGTAGCTTGGTCGCACCGACTGATCCTTAAGTAGCTTGGTCACACCGACTGATCCTTAAGTAGCTTGGTCGCACCGACTGATCCTTAAGTAGCTTGGTCACACCGACTGATCCTTAAGTAGCTTGGTCGCACCGACTGATCCTTAAGTAGCTTGGTCACACCGACTGATCCTTAAGTAGCTTGGTCGCACCGACTGATCCTTAAGTAGCTTGGTCGCACCGACTGATCCTTAAGTAGCTTGGTCACACCGACTGACCCTTAAGTAGCTTGGTGGCACCAACTGATCCATAAGTAGCCTGGTCACACCAACTGATTATTAAGTAGGCCCACAGTCACATGACCGTGTTCATCATTTAGTTGTTTAACTTTAATCAAGCAAGCAGTTGACCTGTTTTGAGCGTAGTATTTGATCCCCTCCCCCAGACTAAATCCCTCCTAGTGTTTTCCTACTTAGCGAACGGCCGGTCCTGTTGTCTGAGACGTCTCCTCTGCCAACACAGAACAAACAACACGCATTAAGCCGATCGATGCGGCGCTACGCTCTTATTATATCATATCGCATCACGGCTTCTAGTGGGCTACGTTATCCGGGTGAAGGGAGGGCACCGGCGATGGTGGATGGGCCGCGTGTCATGCAGAGTGTCCATTAGTGACTCGTCTCGCTCGGTGCTTCATTACATTTTGTTTGTTTTCATGTAGTTTTGTTAATTTCCCGTTTGTCTAAACATGTCTTAACCTAAATACATCCACTTCTGCCAATTTAGCAGCAACAACGTCCATGTCGTTTTTCAAAGGCTATTGATTGTTTTGTTGTACTTGGAAGCAGATTGTCATCTACAATGGGAACACTCTTTACAGTGAATTAGACAGACTTGCCCATCAGGAAGGAAACGGCAAATATTCCTCATAGGTTGATGGCATTCACATCTCTTTATAGTTATATGGCTATTAAGGCTCTGGTTTCTGCATCTGGGTCCTCGTGGTTTTATTTGGTTGGGGTCAATTCCAATTCTAAAATGCACAAGTTGCCGTCAAAAATGTAAAACCCTAAGGGATACCATTATTAATGTTTACTGTGGTCCTGACCAGCTCAACCGGTAGAGCAAGGCATTAACGTTGCCGAGGTTAGGGGGTCGATTCCCATTGGCACCACCCATGCTAAAAATAATATGCGAAAGTCAGATGCTCCCTTGCTGTGAGGACAGGGTGTCGGGATGCCATTATCAACAGTATTTCAGCGTGTGCTCTGAGTCGTCTCCATCGGGGAGCGTATCACCGTTGGGTTAAACTCTATCCTCCTTCTGTAGTCTGTTTGCTAAGAACCACAGTTTGTTGGGTCAACTCGATCGTCCTTCTTTTCGTTTGTTTGCAGACTAATTGACCCGCTGCACTTGCAGTGTAATCCAAAACGCGGCGACGATGAGAGACATCGGTATCCTGCACTTTACCTAATAGCTGAAAAAGCTGCGGCTTTGCATACAACGCCGTTGTGTCATTTGATCCCAGCGTATCGGTTCCAGCCCAGCATGGGATCCTCCAACAACTGGATCAGAGGTGGCGAGAGCAGGAAGTAGAGGACTTGAAACAAAGAGGGATGCAACAAAACACTTTATTTAGTGTGTGTGTGTGTGTGTGTGTGTGTGTGTGTGTGTGTGTGTGTGTGTGTGTGTGTGGTCTGATGAATAATGATATGAATAGATGGGGTCTGAAGTCTTTCTTTCCCCCGTTGACTTGAGTTACGAGGGTGGAAGCCAACAGTAACGTCTTGTAATAATTTGCTTTCCGTAGCAAAACCAACCGCAAAAAACACTCATCAATTTTGCATCAGCGTTAATTTGGTCTAATAGCTGTCCATTAACAAAACCGACTGCCTGGCGGCTAACTCCCCTTTTCTTCAATGGGATTTCCTTTGTGATTTGCATAGTTTTTTCCTCTAACTCTTTCTCAAACAAACAAAAATGCACATGCAACCCAAACACACATCCATCAACACAGACAGACGTCCCTCCTCCTCTCCCTATCAGGTATCTGCTTCCCTTCAGTCACCCTGTGAAACACGCCAGACGGTTATTATTTGCAAACCTTGCAAATCTATTCTGCAAACATGATAAACCGTGTAGGTGTTGGAGGCGGACCTGGTGGCGCTGGAGTTCATCCTTAAAAGTTGAAATCTTTTTCTGGGAGATTGTGGGCTGACGTCAAGGTCCTCAGGTGAGCGACTAGCTGACTAGCTCAGAGTATCTCGGCACCATTTCCATAATCTTGTTTCACTGATCCGCGTGAATGTGGGATACGACTCGGTGCCGACCCATTTTCAATCAGTCACTCCTGATGGCGCGCCGGAGCGCAAGATATCCTTCATGAATACATGTGTTGAACTCTTCAACCAGACGCTTAACCCCTGCAGTTAGGACACTAACCTGGTCCTGGTCCTGGAATGGGATATTGGTGAGAGAGAGGGCGGGACTTCCAGTCACATGTGTTGAGAGAGGGGGAGGGACTATCGAAAGAGGTGTGTGTGTGTGTGTGTGTGTGTGTGTGCGTGCGCCTTCTGGTGTCCTCACTGGTGCTCTGGAGAATGGAAATGAAACCGATATCAGTGTTAGCTAGGAGGTTATTTTTTTTAACAAATGTGCAGTTTATATACTATTTAATAGACACCTTTTATCCAAAGTGACGTACACTGGATTTGGTCATTAGTAAGCAGGTAGGGGTTAGAGCATCTTGTACTTACATGGGAATTGAAGCCAGAACCTTTTGGGAGTCAAACACCCAAACCGCAATCCTGCCCCCATTTTATGGAAGTGCTTCAGTTCACTCACGTGTAACTTGTATATTATACGGCTTCCCTACTCTATAAATCAGTGGGAGACAGGCAATGTAAATTAACCACTGAAGCCAACCAGAACGTCCTACCTGCCAAAACACTTACTTAAAACACAGCCGTCGTCAGGGAAACGTAGGAAACTGTCTTACAGCCATACACTGCAGAATGTCCTCAGTTCAAGTTCTTACAGGGCAAATGTAATTAATGTGAAGACGCCATTATGTCCTCCCTCCTGCGGTGGTTTCCAGGTGTTAGTCCGGTAGTGCAGAGTAGACGCGGTGTCCTGGGTAAAGCTGGATATTCTTGCTGCATGTATTGACATGACATGTTCACAGAGTACCCGATCGCAGAGTACCAGATCACTTAGATAGAAATGCCTTTCTAAAAAGAAAATCCAAACACAGGCAAATAGTAGTATCTGCTACACAGATAGTACTTTATAACTATAATAATATCATAAGAAATGTTTTCTACTCATTCATACACACAGGCTACATCCTGCCATCTAGTCCTATATCCTTCTCCTTTCAAGTTAAAAAGGTTAGCATTGTACACAAGGCGGTAATATGACCATCAGTAACCTGGTGGCCAACCTGACAGCTGCTAAGTGGAGACCCGCCTCCTCCTATGTTCCTCACTGCTATGGGCCTGCAGTGCTGTCAATCAACGGCTTGTAACTCCAGCAACCCTAAGTTACTTTGCTAACCTAATACCTGTAGCTATAGTTACGGCTCCAGGTCAACCTTGAACAGCTTTAGAAAGAATTAGTGAAAATATTGATCCATCTCTTAATCCACCCATCAATCTAAACATCTAACGTCCTCTATTTCAATATTGTCTCTCTCTGTCTGTCTGTCTGTCTCTCTCTGTCTCTCTCTGTGTCTCACCCTCGTTACACTTGACATTAACATGCGTTTTGGGCGATCAGATATAAATCGGAGATGAAACGTGTGCAATGCATTTAATTTACACCTGACATTAGAAGGGCGTCTCCGGTGTCCAGATTGCTATCAGATATTCAATATACAGTATATCTAGACGTTATCTCTAGATTATATATAGAGATTATATAATTAGATATTATATTAATATTATATTCAATAGTAGAATTGTACTCGCGCGTCAGTTCCCTGTGAATTTAAATTAGTATAACTGATATATCTGACGATGGCCCCCGTGAAATCACTTCATTGTTTTTGGCATTTGGCCATGGGATACGAAAGAGCCAATCACACGTCTGTCATTACTGCTGCCTTGCATGTCAGCACTGCTCATAAAAGCTGCAGATGTGAGGATCCCTGTTGATGTACGTTTGTAGTTGCTGATGATTCAGAGTGAGGGATGATGACGAGTGTCTGTGAGCACGGGGAGACGGTACGGTCCTCATAACCCGCCACGCTGAAGGTCTCCGGAACTACGGTCTGATTGGCTGTATACTCACTCACTCACTCACTCACTCACTCACTCACTCACTCACTCACTCACTCACTCATTCACAGCGTCTTCCCCGCTCTACTGGGGTGGCAGGCATGAATAAAACACACCTCTGCTGTTAAATGTTAACCTTGACTCACCCCACACTTAGTGAGGACTCCTATAGAGTAAAGAGAGGAGAAGGAGACGAAGGAAACCAAGGAGATAAAGGAATGATATTCTGGTACAAAGGAGCATCCTGTGTGACGCACACGCACGCACGCACGCACACACAGGGGAGGGTTGTGGTCTTCCATGTTGGCCAACAGCTTTAAGTTCTGACCACAACATTTTCATGTTGTCAAGATGTATCCGATCTTGTGGAGTCACTCATGAATATTGTAGACGTACCCAGATTGTTCAGACAGACCGTGTGTGTGTGTGTGTGTGTGTGTGCGCGTGCGTGCGTGTGCATGTTCTGTCTGTGTGGAGGAGCAGACCAGTAGGGTTTGAGAAGAAAGGGTAAGTGTACACATGTTCACCTTTCCATTTTTACCTTATCAGTTCTCCTCCTCCTCCTCCTCCACCCCTGTTATGGAGCTATGCCTCTGGCAGCCCTCTCCCCTTATGATGTACTCCCAGGTACCACCACACATAGTGACATAGTTGTACCACCAGACATAGTGACATAGTTGTACTCCCAGGTACCACCAGACATAGTGACATAGTTGTACTCCCAGGTACCACCAGACATGGTGACATAGTTGTACCACCAGACATAGTGACATAGTTGTACTCCCAGGTACCACCAGACATAGTGACAAAAAAATAGTGGAAAAAGCAAAACCAAAAGCATGAATAATGTGGTCCCCGTCTCGTCCGGATTCATTCACCTGCTTTGGAGTTTTTTCATGTACACTCTAATTGATTATGGATTTGTTTCACTTTTTTTTTTTTCTTGAGTCCCATGAATAAAATGTTTATCCCCTTTCCCCTGCCTTGCTCAACCCTTTCCCCTGCCTTGCGCAAGGTTAAAGGACATGGCGCTGTTGCAAATTGATGAATTGCAATAGGTTGGAGGTTACATTTAGCAACAGATTAAGCAGAGGTGAAATGTATTATATCGCCAAAGAATATGAGAAAATGTATTAAGTTACAGTTATAAGAAAATAGTGTAAACACAGTGTAAACATCTCAGAAAGATGTATTTCTATCTCTCTATCGGATATTGGCAGATGCGCAACCAGTCTGCAGCTCCGCCCACCATTAGTATCATCAACTTTCGTTTTTCTAAATCTACGCCAAGGATTTGTGTGCACACAGCCGGTCCTCCCTCCTCAAGGCTCTGTATCAGTGTGTACTAGTGCCTCCGCTGTCCCCACCTCTCAACACCGTCCACATCTATTCGGACCTCATTCAGGGTCAGCACAGCCTCTTGTCCAGGACTTTGAAAGCTCTCCTTTAACAAAAAATATGATATGATCACAGAAAAAGATGAGAGTAAGTGTATTTGATAGATAAAAGTAAACATTTGGAAGGGCTGTTTTGGTCAGGATTGATTGATCAGGTTATCTTTGGAAGCAGTGATTTCTGATTTCCAGATTAGTCGTTCACTATGACAATCACACATGTATTTTAGGCTAGTTCTTGCTTGTGCAGATGTAGTGGCCTTACAGACCTCTTGGAGATGTTGCATAAAGTAAAGACATTTTAAAGTATAGATAATCTTTGGTTTCTTTTGCTTAAATGTGCAGAAAGTACAGGTGAAATCAACGTATGTCTATGTATTGCTGGAAAACTAGTGTGGAATAATGGCTGGTAATATCTTGTCAATGGAGCGATGCAGCGTTTTAAAGGGCAGACGTTAACACACTTATGGACAAAGTGGTCTGTTGAAGTTTCACAGCCCTAC